GACGCGAGATACAGATAAATAACGCTCTATTGGAAAAATAATGAATTTGTTTTCGCTAAACCTAATATTAACAAAAAAAGCTCTAGAAGATTACAGGAAAGCCTGCCTTAATTCAAAGCCCAGAATCACTATCGTAAATGAGAAATGAGCGAGTTTATCATCGAGTGTTCAGTCTGTCTCTTTCGTAACTAAATTTATCCCAGGTGGCGATAACAGTGCTAACCACAATCACTGGGGTTTCCGTCGTGTTAAAACGTGGCAAGCTCCAATTTGGCAAATCGATCCGAAGGAAATATCAAATATTAAAAATTTTGCAGTTACATAAAAAATTCATAGAAAGCTTGTAAATGCAAAAGCCATTTCCCACTTGCCCTACGATCATTCGCCAGTTACAATCAAGTTATTTGAACAACCAACCAGATTTGAGAAACTATGTCCCCTGACAACACCCAGAACTAATTGGCTCCTTCTGTGCTTCCTCTTCCTATTCTTCTTCACTGGCGTAAACACCAATCATGCGATTATAGCAACTGCGCGCCGTTCATTCCTTTTCGCTGATTGACGCCAATAGGAAATACCAAGTTTCACCAGGTCCTTCACCACCTGATCTTTCTTCCTCTTCCTCTGCTTCTCCCGGAAACTTTCAAAGCTGGCGTATTCTTATTCATCCGAACCATACATCCTAGCCAACGTAGCCGCAGTTTCTTGTTTCGCTGAATGTCGTTGTATATCTTGTACAGCTCTTTGTTCTACTGGCCTCGCCATAGTATACGCGCATTGTCAAAGCACAATCTTACTCAAAACTTTTCTTTCAAAAACTACTAACGCCGACTCACAAGATGTTTTCATTATCCATGCCCCAATAATGATGAGAGGTCTGTTGAGTTTGGTCCTTCTTCGTCAAAAGAGGACTTCATTTCACAATAGCCTAATCAGTCCAAAATCACAACTCTTGGCTCCAGTTTTGAGACCTTGCGTAATTCGGGCATTAACCTTGTCAACCAACTTCCCAAGCTTTTCATACTGCATCTGCACATGCGCCTTGCGTCCCTCTTCTTTTGTGTTATCTATTGTACATCATCCATCACGTGTAATTGACTTGAAGCGTCCTTTGGGGCAAGCTTAAAATCAACTGCCTTATGGAGAACCTTTTCATCGAGAAACGTAGACTGCGCCAAGAATGGCAGAATAATCGAAAAATTAAATGCTGCTGATTAAAAGAACAGAAGTTTAAAAATTGAAGAAGCCCCCTCTCTCTCCTTCGAAGAATTCTCCTAAAAAAATCCACTATGGAGGGCTGAAAAGAACTTTAAGCCATCAGTAAAAATTGAGAGAATACTCAGATGGAGAACTGGTACTTGCAACCGTTATGAAGAAGACGAGGCGAAATACTTTGCAAATCATGCCGCAAGTATGCGAACCCTAAACGATAACAGTACGTTTTTTATTTGAGGATTCTCGGAGTGCAAATTTTTTACGTGTCTCCCGAGTGAGAAACGTGCCTCGTCGAAAAATCATCGTCCACTGTTTGTTGTCAAATCGACGTATGTACTGCGGTGTGTATGATCAGAATGGTCAACTGGCTTCATGGCATGTTCCAAACGATCTGGAAACAACATGAGCGGCTTCCCTTATTGTGATTCGGCGGTCCTTCATATACGTTTCTTGCACTTTTTCTAGGCTTTAATAGGTTGCTTATGTGCTGGGGGAACCCGGGCATTCGGCATTTTTAATGTCTTCACAGCGTTCTTGCAAACGCTTATATCACTTCACCATAGACTCTTTGTCAATATTTTACATTCTTTTCTACGAAAGACGCCGAACTCATAAAAACATAGTTAGACGACGCATAGTCTACAACCAAAAAAAAAATAGCTGAAATATTATCATAATCAAGAAAAAACGGTTTGACAATGGAAAGCTACAATCCTACGAGTGTTAAAATATTTTAATCTGACGCTACATACATACATTCGTCTTGATGCTCAAATGAAATATCTTGAGATTCACAAGATCAATTGCTATGCGTAGAAAAGGTTGCATACTTTTAGGCTGCAACTTACCTTTACGCTGGTGGCGCATTTTATCTGATCTATTTTATAAAATTCCTTATAGAAAATAAATTTTTCTCCAGCACAGAATATTCTAAAAGTGTCTGTATTATTTTGTATTAAAATAAATATATAAATATATACAGTGGACCAGAGGCTGAACCATTCGAAAAATTTGTATTTATGATTCATAGAGTTTTTGGATGATCTGCCTAAACGAAATACATTTTTTTCCTGGAAATGAACCAAAGACCGGAAAACAACTTCGATTTTTTCGAAATATAAATAATACTTTCTTTATGGAAGAGAGATTAACGGCAGATTTGACAAAAATGAGTATGATTCGGATATAAGCGGAGTTCAAAGGAAGGGATGTTTGCTTCGCACTTGTATTAATTTGCGGCTGCTGGTTCAACTTGAGTGCATAGATCCGAATGGTGCTGTTCGGGTTACTTCGAGGCTTTCATATTAACCTTTTCGTGATATTATTATAAATATATTGGATGAGTGCATAAGTTCGTGCCCGATTTCAAGAGCAAACTAAAATTGAAATTTTTTGAAGAAAGCGCTTTTATTAATCAATTATGTATTCGTCATCATGTTCGGCAATCCACTCCCAACGTTCAACCAATTTACGGATGCCTGATTCATAGAAATCGCGCGGTTTCTCGTTGAAAAAGGTGTCAAGGAGGTTTTTGACGTCTTCCACATTTTTAAATTTTTTTCCATTCAAATTGTTCTGCAGCGATCGAAACAAATGACAATCAGAAGGTTCAATGTCGGATGAATATGGGGGATGCGGCATGATTTCCCAATTCATCTCCTTCAGTTTGGCCAGGGTCGGTTTTGCAACATGTGGCCTGGCGTTGTCATGATGGAAAAGAACTCCTTTGCGATTGGCCAAAATCGGACGTTTTTCATCAATTGCTTTCTTCAATTCGACCAATTGCTGACAATACTTGTTGGCAGTGATCGTTTCTCCAGCTGGCAAGAGCTCAAAATAGATCACGCCTCGGATATCCCACTAAATGCACAGCAGTACCTTCATCGGATGCAATCCACCTTTCGACATCGGTTTCGCCCCTTCGTGTGCCTGTTTCCATGTTCTTTTGCGTTGAACATTGTTGTACAGGATCCATTTTTCAGCACCAGTCACGAGCCGATCCATATATAATAATAATATATAATCAATAAAAACCTAACGAATTTTTTACTTGACCTAATATTGAGTAAACCTTAAGCAAGAGGTCGAAAAATGAAAAGGAATGTATCGTGTCGTCGTTAAATTTAACCATCGGTTTCGTGATCCTCACATTAGAAGGGACTCGGAAAAACGGAGAAATTGAAGAGGAAAACTTTGAGTGGCTGAGTCGTCCCGATGCATCTTAAGATTAATGAATGACATTTTTTTTTAATTATATTTAATTTGATTTAGTCTTTGATGAAAGTTTTAGCTCAAAATGGATTCAAAAAAAATTCAAACACTATGATATGCACCTGGAAGGCCTCATTTATTGTTTTTGCCTGCTCACCCAGTAATATTTTTTAAAAACCTGAATTTTTTACATTTTTATTTTTCACAAAAGGAAAACTTAAAAAATGAACTAAATCCACCAACTGTTACCTCGTCGAATTTTTCCGTTCGGAATTACGCAATAAATCGAAACACGAATGCAAGCCATCGAATTCTTTGATTAATCGGATAAATAAGATTCGATAAAATCAGAAGATGCGATTCCAGTCGATTTCAATTTCGATGCCGATCCAAATTGGATTCCAGAACGGCGCTGATAATTAAAAATGATGTTCTCTGATAAAATAGTATATAATAACCGATTGAATATATTCGTACTTTCTATGGATGAAATGCACGAAAAGGATGTCTAAAAGTGTGATTTTGAATGAGGCAATAATTTCTTCGAAGCTGCTCTCTTTGACAGCTGTCTATAGATTTATACAACGTTTGGAAGTCACCAGAGTCGGTCAGAGACTAAATGTGAGGTTGTTGATGTGGACGACTTTTGCTTCCAACATGACGGTCCTACATGCCATTTAGCCAACGATGCTATAAAACGCAATATCGCGATTCATGAACCTGTGGCTTGGCTTCTTGGTTGAAATTTTTTCGAGCCAGTCACAGCGGACACATTGCAAACATTTCAAATAAGTAGAAAATCGACACGAATTCTTTAAAACTGCAAAAAGTTTTTATACGACAAAAAGCGTGGCAATACTTTAGACTAAAAGCCCCAGGCTTTCACCTTGGATTTATGCGAAAATTGGTATAAAAAGAATTGGTGATCTTAATTACAACCGTTGAGATAATTTGAAGTATTTGATCCTTCTTATAAGAAAACTACTCTGCTTAAAATTCTATTTAATTTTTTATTATTATTTTTTTTGTTTTATTAATAATATATAAAATATTTAACATAACTACATAACTATTTTCTTATATAATACACAAATTTACAAAACGAATTTGTATAGTAAATTGGAAGTAAAATTTTATATTTGGTTTAGAAGAAATAAAACTACAAGTATGAGTGTGAATAAAAGAGTTGCCGGCCTGTAAGATTTTCCCAATAAAGCACATTAACGGTCAGTTCGAAATTTTCGGGATGAGTAATCCTAGCCTCGTGCGATGCTATTGATCGACATGGGCACAATCGGGTTTTTCGAGTATTTTCAGAGGAATGTTTTGGTATTTTAGATTTTTCTATATTTTTAATTTTTTAAAAAGGCTTGTTGCTCTCTTTTGAATTCATCAAAAGCTCTAAATTTTTGTACAAAAATTTGAAAATTTGAGCCGTGAAGAAGTAGCGAGTCAAACCAAAAAAACCTGCACCTTCAAGATGTCTCTGGAGCTCTGCATCCTATTAATACTTTTGTATTGTATAAGAGAAAGCGATTTACTCTCTCTCATTCGCATTCATACAAACATATATCTACATTACATTTAAGTGTATCTATGATAGTTTAAATTACTTAAACGCTGCTTAGATTTACACTACTTACATACATATGTATATACATACAATACAAATACAAAGAAGTATACGTAAAATGCTATGCCTTTTGAAATACTCAGTTGTTGTACACTTTTCTGCGCACACTTCCACCCATCCATTAAGGACGTTTCGTGATCTTCACGCGTAGACCATCTTTCGGTCTCAAAATCAATTCACCCAACAGCGTCAGATCTTCACGACGATCAATAGATTCGATTTTATATTTACGCAAAACCGTCGAGAGTACCGCCTTCTCTTCGAGTATGGCGAACTTTTGACCAATACAGTTACGTGGACCCGCGCTGAAGGGTATATAGGCGAAGGGATGACGACCAGCGCAATTCTCTGGTAAAAAGTTGTCCGGATTGAATTGTTCGGGTTTGGGGAAACTTTTGGCGTTGCGATGTAACATGTAGGTGACAATGATGGCGGTAGTGCCGGCGGGTATTAGGTGATTGCCTGTGAAACAAAAGAGATTATTAGTGAATTTAAAATGAAACGGATGATTAATTTAGATAGTTTCAACAGCTCACCAATTTTCACATCCTCGCCAATAGAGCGCGCCATCATTGGCACACTGGGAAACAGACGCAGCGCATCCTTAATGCAACACTCCAAATAACGCATATCCATTAAATTCTGCATAGTTGCTGGTGTCTCTTTGTCATCGCCGAAAATCGATTGTAACTCCTCCACCACACGCTCCTGATACTCAGGATATGAGCCGAGCAGGAAGAGTGTCCACGATATGGCTGCGGAGGTTGTGTCGTGCCCCTCAAACATAAACGTATCGACTTCTTCGCGTATATCCTCATTTGAGAGCACAACGCCATCCTTCGATGCGCTAATGAGCAGATCTAAGAAAGCCAGACGTTTCTTCTTACCCAAATCGTCATAGGCATCGGGTGTTGTGTTAACATTGTTATTGAGTACATTCTCTGCAAGTTCGGCTTTACGCTCGCGTATCACACGATTAGAGAAGCCATGAAGTGTATTGATGTAGCTCTCGTGTTTTTTGTAGTCTTCGGTGAAACGGAAAATCATATCGAATTGTAGCCATATTTTCGATTGACGATTTTGAACAATGGAGCCAATGCTAGAGGAAATAAAAAAAAAGCAGATATGTGCATATGTTATAATATATAATAAAATTATGCGAGATAAAGGCAGGTTTTTTTTCTATAATGTTAAAATATATTTAAAAAAAGTTTTGTTAAAATTAATATTTATTTATATAAAATATTTACTATTTTGTATAGTTTTTTTTTATAAAATTTATATTGAAGTTTTTATGATTTATTTTTTTAATTTCTTCATTTTTTTAAAGAGTTATACTCAATTCAACTCCTGCGTCACCCAGGAAACGTAAGCAACCCTTGTGGAAGATATGATACCCGTTCCGTATGGGACTTGGTTCGCGTCTAAAAAAGAGAAGACTCAGCGAAGGGCTCACTAAAGCCCAATTGGCACCGTCTGTGCAAGGGGTGCAGCTGCAAGCGGACGTCGGTCTCAAAGCAAGCGGCTCACTCTATAAACAAATACAAAAACTTTAAACTGCTCGACTAAAGAAGGTGAGTGGTGTGCTGGGATTGGGACCTGCCACGAAAAAACCGTAAGTATAGCAACGCCTCAAATGAGAGACCCGCATTTGATAACGATCACGGCAAACGTTTAAGGACTATCATTTAAAGGCACACACCTGGAATATCCGTTCCCTTAGTTGGTTAATGGCCTCGTAGAACTAAAGGCTGACAAAAAGTGCAATGGTCGAGATAAGGAGCGTAATTTTGGTGTTGGGTTTATGGTGAGAAAGATACTCTGTCGCCGAGTACTGGAATTCGTCTCGGTTAATACACCATACACCTCACCGTAGTCCAGATCAAAGCGAAATTCGGCAAATTATCAAAGGAGGATGTGTTTTAGGATGCTTTTTATGAGCGTTGCTAACGGCACGATGTGGAAATCATGTTGGTCTACTTTTACGCTAAGGTATCTTCGGCACAACTATCGAAAAACACAGCATTCAAGAAAAAATACCGGGGGCGCGAAATAAGTTTGTCAGTAGACCTGGATTCCAGAGACTAAAATTTTCATCGAGCTACAGGGCAGTCTCCTGATCGCAGCCAGACATTTCATGTTTTGATAGACGTACGACTCCGAGGACGTGTACGCTCCGCGGGCCCAACATCTGCTCGTAGAATCACTCTTACCAATGGGTGCAAGTTTAGTCAGAGTAGGAAATTGAAAAATAAAGTACGCTCCCGATGAGAACGTCTGATGTGACCACTTTAGGAGTGTTCGAGAGAAATGTTTTGTGTAAGATTTGTGGAAATCTGCAAGTTGGTTAGGCAGCAAATATCGCAGACGATGGCAGCATTGTTCACATAGTTCGGAATACCAAAAGACAGCTGTTGCGCTGGCTAGGTAATTCGATTCTGATTAATATGAATACTCCAGCTTTGATAGTTTCTATGTAGCACCCTTCGATGGGAACAAAGAAAGCGGAAAACATCTACTTCATAGCAAAGACCAGCTGAGGAAGAACCTTGGCAGCTCTTGCCAATTCCAACTGGCGCTACACAGTAAAAAGAAGAAAGGAATTGTGTGCTGTTGTTAACTCGGCTATAACCGCGTAAGTGGTGTCTACGCCAGTAAAGAGGAAGAGAAGAATACCCGAGCGGTTAGCACATTCGACCAACATTCAAAATTATAGAAAATTAATGTTTCTTTTTTCGGTCGCTCCTCAGAAGTCAAGCCCACCGAGTGTATTACTGAAGTTTAATAAAAATCAACACGCATACCACAAAGTGGAGGAAGAGCTCGGCCAAAAATTGCTTCAGCGGCTATTAACCCAATTCAAAACTACATTAAAATTTCCTTGTTTAGCTTTATTGGAAATACTATTAGTTATTTATTGTTTTTTTAATTTCCTATTCATTTAATAAATTTATTTAAAAAAGTATTATTATTATTGAGTAAAACTTTTTCTTTAAATTTCTTATATTTTCCTCCTTAAAAGTGTTAAATATTTATTGCAAATAATATTTTTTTTAATTTTTTTTTTTTATTAATTTTTTGGTTTCAATTTGAGCAAATTATCTGCGTATATTTTCCACATGCCTACATAAACATCAATGCTCTTATCTGTGTTCTCATGTGCCTAAATAATGTGGCAAAACTTCATTTGCCAGTTGAGTTGAGTTCGTTTGGTGTTGCCGCCGAATTGACATCTTAATCTCGCATATTTTCTACATGAGCGCTCTCCAACACCGCCCCCCAACAACACCCAACATCGAACCAAGAATATTTATTTATTTTATCAAACGAACGGGTGTGAGTGTGTGGGTGTGTGAGCTTGTTTCACTGTCAAAGTTGACAGCTCCCGATATTAAACTGTTTTTTTGTTTTTGTACAGTTCAGTGACAACTCATTTTGCTCATGCGTATGTATGTTTGTGTATGTATATAGATATATGTATGTGTATATTACCACTTTCATTTCGCACACACATACGTAAACATATACTGATATTATTTCCCGTTATATTTGGGGTAATAGAAAATTGAATTTCGCAAAATTTTGATATTTCATATTGGCCAAATTGAATTGTTTGAGGTGGTGGAGGCGAAGTGGGGCGACGAGTGGATGGCGAATGTTGCAATTGAGTGTCGAAAGATCATATCTGCAATTATTTTCTACAGTATATATGTGGCTAAAACACGTGTGCATAGAAGCAAGAAAAAAAGGGACTTAAAGTTTTAAGAAGAAATTGGAAATTGTTGAAAGTGTTTGAAAAATATCATTCCGAGTTGGACACTGGAACACCACATAACTGTTGACCCTTGGCGCTGTGATTTTCAGCTACCGTAGTGCCTGTGGAATAGTCTGCACGTACACGTAGGTAACTTATGGCTCTCGATCCCACCAAAGGCGAGGTGGTGACGACATGTGGTGTTACTTGGAAAACCAATGCGGGGCAAGTTGAGCCTGCGATTCTGCTGATAGCACTTTAAAGTGGGCTACAAAGGTTCGGCTACTACAGCAAGTGAAATAAAAATTCCTATAATTAATTAAAAGTCATAGCTACTCTGCAATGCCTTTCTTCATGGAACTCAGGTAGGAAATATGGAACACATATTGCTCGAATGCAAGAGATTCAACGGCTTGCATGAGTTCTTCGAATAAATAAACGGTGAGTCAATCTGTGCTGATATCGGTGTACAACTTAGCTTCCGCCGTTTTTTTCCAAAATTAAAAGCTTTATTGCGACAAAGTGCTTACAGATATATTTTTCAAAGTATTGCCCTTCGCTAGCGACAACTTTCTCCCATCTTTCCGGCAATTTTTGGATCCCGGCTCGAAAAAAGGAGTCCTCTTTTGACGCTATCCATGAAGCAATACATTTTTCCAATTCTCCGAAGGATTGAAAATGTTAATCTGCCAGGCCGTGCGCCATCGAACGGAATAGGGGGAAGTCAGAAGGGGCGACATCTGGGGAATACGGCGGGGGGGGCAAGACTCCCCATTTCAGCGTTTCCAGGTACTTTTTGACCACTTTTGCGATGTGAGGCCGAGCATTGTCGTGTTGGAGGATGACTTTGTCATGTCGCTCTTGATATTGTGGCCGCTTTTCTTTTAGCGCGCGACTAAGGCGCATCAGTTGCGTTCGGTAGCGATCTGCTGTGATGGTTTCACCCGTTTTTTTTTTAGTTGTTCATCTTTGAAGGTTTTTTCTCTTCCTCCACCATGTTTGTCTTCGACATCGAAATCACCATTTGTAAAACGTCGAAACCACTCTCGACACGTTCTTTCACTCAGAGCAGCATCACCGTAAGTTTCTGAGAGCTTTCGATGCGCTTCAGCTGCATTTTTTTTCGAATTGTAACAGAAAAGTAAAATTTACCGCAAATGGCGAGAATTAGGCACATAAACGGACATTTTCGAGCTTGAGTAATACGAAAACAAGAACAACTGCCACTGAAACGGCGATGACAATTCGTTAGGCACTGTCCACACTCACTTTAAAGGCATTATCATCTATGGATTTCAACCAGCTTCAGCCGGTACAGCCACCTATGGGATAACGGCGGAAGCAAAGTTGTACACCTATTGGATTGCATACTTTGCTCACCAGCGTAATGAAATTCTTGTGCCAAGCAAAAGCATGATCTGCAAGCAAGTCCATGGATTTCCCCATCAATAGTGTTTCGGGTTTAGGTTGAGCACGAAATCAACCGAATTTTTGAAGTTTCCCACTTGCTACGAAAAAAGAAATCACGTTTTGCCTCCGATATTGAAGAGAAACAAGAAAGGTAGAGTGAAGTAAATGAAATCTTCGTTGAATTTAAAGAAGCAGCGTAAAAGTTTCGTCAATGCGCTCACTACTGCAGGGTGCATAAATCAATGTTTTAACTTCAATCTCCCGGATTCCAGCGAGAACGCAGTGAGGCTTAAGCTGATTAAGTCCGTAAAAGCTTGTGAAGTTTTCTTTAAAGAAAACCGACGCTCTCGACTTACTAATGCAAGCCGCAGCTGTATTGGACTTTATTTGCAGAACACGGCAACACTTACTCATTTTAAGTATTTAATTGTAAAAACCACTTCGATAGCAGAAATACTGAACTTATTGGCACCTATTATGAACTAAATATTATTAATTTACTGTTATTAAGCAAAGTGGGCGTGAACAAACAACAAAGTCTTAAATTTTGAAGAACTGCAAAACTGTGCGGCTTTCAGTCATATAACCCAAAGACGAACAGATAGGCCGACTAAAAGATCCACTCTACTGTATATATATACACACTTTTTGGCTCTTTGGGCAGCTCTGCCGATTTGTCGCGTGCTTTTTAATGTTTTCCCAATAAATAGAAGGACCTAAAGTTTCGTTTAAGCTTCCTTCAAACGGCTAAAGGATTTTCATGCGGAGCTTTCATTTCATGTCAGAAATAAATATTCAAAAGGCTTCATATTTCCCGCATTTAGAAAAATTAATGTTCTACTTCTTAAATTTTGGATGATCCAGGAATCGAACCCTGGTCTTCCGAATGGTAGTATGCTAATATGGTTATTTTGCATTCGCTATACTGGAATCTGGCATAAGTTATTATTTTGGACCCCCACGTAGTCGCCCGTCAACTTAAAGCCATTTGGAGTGGTTTCATCGTAGAGACTGTCGTTGAATATGTCTTCTTTGTGCACCCTGACTTCTTGGTAATAGCATGATTTTACTATTTTAGTGGGACGTATTTCACGTGCTCGAATGAGGTGTCTTTGGTCGCACCATGCTCCTCTGCCGTGGCGGCGTGAGCGCAAATCAGTGTTCACCAGCAGCATAGTCTCGCTCCCATCGCAAATCCAACATTAAATTTGCCCTCCTCTGTGTGCCAACTGTAATGAGAGTCATAAGAACGCATTATTTTTCACCCTTGCCTCGGCCATCGCTTCTTCTGAATGGTGGTAATGTAATTCCCAGCTAGGCAGTGACAACTTCTGCGCAAAGAGATACTAACTAGCAGAAAACACATTTTATTAGAAGGATGTAGACGCAGTAGCATACAATTTTGTTTAGCCTACAACCTGAGCTGCATTCCAATACTAATCTTTTTCCACCGCAGATGGAAGCAGAGATAACCAAAAAGCAAGTAAAGAGATCATTTTTATTGCATTTAACGGTATCAAATATTTGAAAAGTTTTCAATCGTTGTAGTTTCACAAGAAAGGTTCGAAGGCATAGGTGGCGTAGAGTACTTTTTGTGACATTCTCATAAAAGTTAGACGTGCAGTCTGTCAGTATAAATAAAACGCAAAAAAAATTTAATTTATTTCAATTATCCACTTAAAAAAAAATATTTTTTTAACATTTAAATTATACGTTTTATGACTTTTTGTGTTTCGTAATCTTTAAAATAAACTGGTTTTGGTTTAATGGTGCTGTTAAAAAAAAAAAATAAAAATTGCATCAAAATAATTTTCGTAAAAATTTGGCAAATTTCAATTGCCTCTGAAGTTGTGAAAATTTGCACCTAAAAAGTGCACAATCACATGAATGTTCTTACTTAATTTGCGAAAAAAAGTAAATAATGCAAATACAATCGTAAATGTATTGTAAGTATGTGCATCCATGTATATGCATTTAATAAGCAAATGTACGTTGGCCATGACTTTGACCTCCAGTGACACTAATTAAATATATTTTAGCATTAATTAGCGAGTTGACAGACAGACTACCAAGTCGAGTTTTGCACAAGAAAAATAGATATAAACAAGAATTTAGAAGAAAAAAGTACATTAATGACGCTGCAAAGCGCTTTCTAAAGTGTTCTTAGACAGTGGACTCTCATAAAATTCGAACTCCCTCTTCAGCGCTTACGGTGAATTCGAAGAGCTCACTTTTGAACTACAAGCAGTCATTTGAACCGTATAATTCCTGTACAGAATAAAGCTTCTACCACATTACCAATTTAAGGTTCGTCATGTAGATTCAACTGAGAAATAGCCAGAGACACTAGAGAAATCCTACGAGATCAAGCACTCTAAGCAAAAATTTCAACATATCAGATATTTGACTAATAAATATCATATATCAGGTCAAGTAAAAAGTTCGTTTGGATTTTTTTTTGTTGATTTTTCAAAATATAATAACTTTGTGTACATTTGTCCGATTTACGTCAAATATACGCCGCTTTGTTCGTAAACTTGTTGCCAATGAGGCGCCAACTTCATTTTACCACCCTCCCGTAGATGGTTGCGTCCCTATTGGCAAAAAACTCGGAGAGCCAATTTTCACAGGCCTCTCTTGAGGCCAACTTCTCACCATTAAGCGCGTTCGCCATGCACAGGAATTGGCGCTTTGTAACTGCTGAATCGATTTTTCGGCCGAGCTCCTCCTCCAATTTACTTTTCCAACGCTAACCACTCGGCTACCGCGGCCGCATCTTACATATACGCCGAAATATTCCCCATACTTTTTTCAGATTTGTTCTTTTTGACAGCTGTGACTTGATTTGAAGTGATGGTCATCCACAAGCTATTGTTGAAGCGTCTTTACTTGCTCAAAAAGTCACTGTTTGGTTTGTTCTATGGGCAGTGGGGATCATTGATGCATATTTCTTTAGATATGACGCCGGCTATAATGTGACAGTCATAGTTATAGGACTATTATTAAATACTTTTTCGCGTCTGATTAGAAGGATATTGTTGTGGATGTCACAAAGGGCAGCGAAACAATAATTTTATTGAGGAAAACTTTTGGTTAGCGCATTGTCATGCGTCGTGGGTCTTTAATGTAACCTTCAGGATGGCGCGATTTAACACCGTTTGACTATTTTTCGTAGGATTATGTAAAGTCGCTTGCCAACACAGATAAACCAGATACGATTTACAATTTTTTAAGCGAATATATACTATATATATACAGCTATGGTCACGCAAAAAGCACAAAGTGTATCATACGAGAAAATGTAACTCTTCTGAGGAACATAACGGTATTTTTCTGAATAAAAAAATGTATAATAGTTACTTATGTTATCTAGTTCACAGTGCGTTTCGTACATTCCCGTTATCCTAGCAATTATATTTTTTTCGTCGATTTATCTGATCGTGCTATTAGTTAGTGGTGGTCACGCAAATAGCACAGTCATCGGTTGGATCTTCTGGAATTATTCCCGTAAAATAGTACTTAATGTCTTTAAACTGGTTCAAGAGAGTGAAGATTATCAATCTCAAAACAAATCCTAGGCACCTGCTCCGCGCAAGACAACGATTTTTGAAGACAGAGCCAAAATACGAAAAAAGAGGCTAGATCCTTTTAAATTTTCTAGGCAAAAAATGCTGAAAATAAACGAAGAATTCGATTTGAATATATGAAGAAGCCATGTCGGAAGGCGTTTAAATAAGACCCAGCTCTTTGGACGCAATACCCGCAAAAAACCACTCCTGTCAAAACGGCATATAGAAAAAAGGTTAAAGTTTGCTAAGACGCCTGAGAGCCGGGCGATAAGATTTTGGAATAATATGTTACGGACCGATGAAACTAAAATAAATATAATGGAACCGGATGGGAAAACAAAAACACATTTCATCGCCAAAGAGGTCAAGATTTGAATCCTAGGACAATAAAAAGACCGTAAAACATTTAGGCGGTAATATCATGATTTGGGGGGCATTTTCCTGGCATGGCGTTGGATCAATTGTGCGGATAAATGGAAAAATAGACAAATATCAATATCAATATCTGGACATCTTACTACTTAATTGAACTTTTATGCAGGATAGTGATCCTAAGCATACCGCGAAGGTCACACAAGATTGACTTAAGAAGAAAAATATTCGTATTTTGGATTGGCCTGTGCAAAGCCCAGACCTAAACCCAACAGAAAATTTATGGAACGATGTTAAAACAAAAATATCTGCAAAAAATTCGATGATTTGTGGGAGGACGTCAAGGGATAGTGGTACTCCATACCAAAAGAAAAATATGAGAAACTTGTTGAGAGCCTGGGACGCAGATGTGAAGCTGTTATTAAATATCGTGGACATACTACAAAATACTAATAGATAAGACCCACTTAAGACTAATTATGATTTGTTATCTGGCATATTTGAACTCAAAATTACAAGTTTTGCAAAATGTGCTATTTGCGTGACCACATAATTTCATTAGGAACCTCAAACTTTCAATTATTTTAAACTTTCATTGAATTATTATTAAGTTTTTTTATAAAGGTTGTGTTAAATAATAACTGAGTGAACACATCGTTACAATATTTTCATATTTTAAGCACAAATATCCCTTTGTTTTATTATTATGTATCGGAAGGAAAGTTGTGCTATTTGCGTGACCATAGCTGTATATATATATATATACATATATATATGATATACAGCTCCGATTGTTGCAAAAAGTGGACGAAATTTGACCTCTCGGCTTGAATTAACTCGACCCAGTCACAGCAGTCATTTGTCCGAAGTCTTTATTAAAACATTAATATTTGTGGTAAAGCTGAATTCTTGGCCAAAAACCACGTGCTTAAACAAACATCCTTTATATAAACAAAAACCTAAAATTTAGTGCTAAAAAATCTGCAGAAAAAATGCAGTGCTGAAAGAAATTCTAAACTTACCCATAAACGGCCTTCACATAGTCCGAATCACTGTTATCTTGTGCGTGTATACTGCGTCCCATAGCCGTTTCTAAAGCAAATTTCAAAATTCAATTAATACGTTATAAACAAAAATAACTACAATTATAACACTATTTTGATGACTCTCTCAAAATTCATCATTGCCTCACTGCTGCTGAGTGGGAGAACTACAGCAAAACTCTAAATTGAAATTTACAAATAATATAGCATACTTTTAGGCGCACGATAGTAGGGCCATGAGGCTTGCGATAGTCATCTGTACGGGGTCTTAATATACAAATAGTGCTCTTCTCATTAACATTGTCTGCCTATAATAGCAACACTAAACAAAAACAAAACTCACCGCACACAATATCCAGCGTGCAGAGCGTTACATATGGAAAGATGTTGAAGGCCTCAGCGCCCACTTCGCGCTCCAATTTACGCGCCAAAACAACGCTCTCCTCATTGAAGACATCGATAAAATCATCCAAAATTTTGAAATGGAAGGCGGGCGTTAAAATCTAATTCGAAGTACAAAATAAAAATAGAAAAAAAAAAATTAAAAACACAGAGAATAAAAAAATGTCACAATTTTAGTTTGCCATTTTATTTGTGCTTGTTGAAGTTGTTTGAAAATGTATTTTTGCATCTATAAGTGTCGCCGTAAATAGGCAACGTCTTATAGACGAAGAGATTTCGTAAAGAAAGTAATTAATTTTTAAGCAATTTACATTTTCACATAATCTTTATCTATATACTTGCGCACATACTTAAATAGGGCTATCCATTTTGTGATTTTAAAAGTACAGCGCATCTGTCAAGCTTAACTGTCAAACCAAACATGTTTTGTTTGAATTATATATGGGGCATTTATAAAAATGGATCGCTTGGCAAGCGCACATCGTGTTAAATTTTTACTAGAAAAATTGTGATCCAAGCGTGACCGCCTTTCGTGCTTTGAGAAGAGATTGTGCTAAAGGAATTTTCTAGAATTTGAAAGAAATTTGAAGAAACTGAATCGGTTACAGATATTTTAAGGCCTGTGCATCATCGTTTTGCTCATTCCATCTCAAATCTCGTTACTGTAAGTGAAAGTGTAATCGAAGACCCGAATGTGTCTATTCCTCGAAGTGCTCAAGAGCTAAGACTTTCTTACGGCATGTAATGACATATTTTACTTTTGGACTTACACCCTCATCTGTATGAAGTCTGTCTAACACAACAACTGTAGCCAACTGATCATACACTACGTCGTTCTTAAGTCGATTGGGGTCGATTAAACAACATGAAGTGGGAGGCAATTTTTCGAACAAAGTTTTCTTCTGCGACAAAGCTCATTTTTCACTCGGGGGATACGTAAATCAGCTCCGCCTATTTTTTTTTTGGGGCTCCGCCTATTCTCAAATAAATGAAAAAAAGGCGATTCCAAGGTTCAAACTTGATAGTAAATGGGGGATTTCCTGAAAACCTTATTTTAAATGCTTTTTATTTACGTTTATTTTCGAAAACGCAAAATGGATAACCCTGTTTAGGTACACACACATACGCATATATATATACTTATATCTATTTATATATGTAAATGTTTGTTCGCTCACCTTTCTTCTCGAATGCCATTTCCGGCCGAAACTCGTCAGCAATCCGGTGCCCAGCCATGGTCGCAAATAATCGTAATCATGACTTTTATCAATGAATTTTTGGCTATTTAAAATTGGCTGTAAGTAGAGAAGTGTAGTAAAATTTTTATTACCGCAGCGTAGTTCATCAGATGAAAAACAAAAACAAATAATAAAAAATCACTTTATTTAAAACGAAATTGAGCAGAGTTCCCACGTTACTATGAGCATATGTGTGCTGGTATGTAAATACATACATATATGTATGCATATTTATATATGCACGAGTACATATGTGTAATATTTAACTAACAGTAATTTTCACAAGTAGCGTTTGACACATTCAAAACATCAAAGCATTAAATCTTACGTAACCTTTGACCTTAATTAACTTGTAGCAATAAAATCAAGTTAATTTTGTTGGCCAAGAGGTTCCAAGCACTGCTGAAGACAAGTAAGAGCACCTTGAGGTAATTTTTCACATTTATAGAATAACTCTTACAGGCTGTTTAAAAGCTACGTTTGAAGAAGCCTTGGGTAGATTGAAAATTTTGTAAAATTATGTTGCACCAATGAGTCCTTGTCGGGCTGAATCTGCTTGGTCGTGCCTTGCCTGGCAAGCTCGTCTGCCTTACAACTTCCCTCTATGTTCTTGTGGCCAGGAACCCAAATGAGTGATAATGTGTTCTCTTGGGCTCTCTGCTGTGGGGATAGGCGATAAACCTACACAATTTCTGAAATCGCTAAAAGCGAGCCAAGTGACTTAATTACTGCCTGACTATCGATGAAAATATCCTTGATCGTGTGATCAGTTCAAATGAAGCTTGATTTCTTCATAATGGCTGAAATCTCAGCCTGCAATGATCGAGTAGCCTAAAAAGGAGCTAAAAAGCTTTTAGTTTTTCCATTAAGTTTCGATTCATCAGCATATATCTCAATACTGTCGATTGGATTATCGAAATTATTGCTTCATTCTCCCATTTTAGGGACATGGGTTAAATACGTTGCAGTAGGAAAGTGCATTAAGTCTAATGGTACAATATCGAGACCTCAGCTGACGTGGTTTTGAGCGCGCCATTTGTCCTTAAAGTCCACTTGGAAGTTTAAAAATCGTTGCCTGTTTAATACAGACCACCATAATTGTCACTGAAGAGATTTTCGGCCGAGCTGCTCCTCCAATTTGTGATTTTGCATCTTGATATATTTCCAACAAAAGGAGGGACCTTCAGTTTATACTAAGCCGCCTCCGAACGGCTGATGGTTTTTTATGAGGAGATTTATTTCACGTTAAAAATACATTCGGAGGGCTTGTCATTCCCTGCCGAAAGGGCGATCGCGATTATAAAATTTAACTTATTTTTTTTTTAATTAATTTTCCATAACTTGATGTGAACCTTGGCCTTCCGAATGGTATACGCAATGCTAGTCATTCGGCTACCACGTCCACCATATAGGCATTACAAAAACAGTATTGATCGGACAACATATTTTAGCTTCCCAAATAAGTTCCTTGTCCAACATTGCGGCCAGAAATTTTGTCTTAGTTCCGAGGCCATTCAAAATTTGCGCGCTTATTGTCGTAACTTAAAGTAAACTGACAATTAACTGAGCTAAATTTTCTACTTAAGTACATAGGCTTCACGATCTAGTAAATAGTATTTATGTATCAAACACTTTTGAGAAGCCGTTGCTGCCTTAAGGACGGTCAGCCTACGCTGTAATACTCGACAGCTTCAACAGTTTTAGTCGTAAATTATTTTTCATACTTACCTCTACTGTTTCGGGATCAAAGAGCATCACATATGGACTGGTGCCTTGCCATGCCTTATTCAAGCCGATACGGGTGCCCCATAATTTTATTGTACCCGTAAGACGATTGAACAATTCTGTAAAACAAAATATAAAAAAATTTGTAAACTGAATTTGTAAGTAAAAATTATTTCTATTAAAAAAAAATCTCAAATCTCATTTCAGAAGAGAATAAAAGTATGGTGATCACCCAACAAATGTAGGAGCCTACAATGTATACTAAGACTTGTCCGAACCATTTGATGTTTTTTCAAGAGGAGCCTTTATTTCATCACATTGAAATACAATCAGAGGGGAACCCCTGCAGGTTAGGGGTTCAAGAATTTACCCGAGGTAAGGCATGTCTGTCATAAGAGGCGACTAAAATCAAATAGTTCCCGCGACAGTCGGGCCTTTATACGGGAACGACCCGGATTTCTAACCGGCCAAGGACTGTCACTCCCGCAATATTCCCGAAAAAGAACTTTGGGGAATAATTTTGCGGTTACAACAACAACAATCGTAGGGGTTGACATTTCCTGCTGAGAACGATAACAATTGGAAAAATAACTTAATTTTTAATTTCATTTTTTTTTTTTCAATTTTTGATGTCGGCAATCCAAGACTCCAACTCTGACCTTCCGAATGGCCGTACGCACTGTTAATCACTGGACTATCGAGGTCGCCAACACTTTAACTGACAATAAAACTGTGATTGAGCGCCTGGCTCTTTCATGCTCGATATCAGTGATCTTCAGAGGGCAAAAGTACAGAAATACATTGTTCGTTGCCTGAGCGATTTTTCTCGGAAATTTTCCTAAAAAAAGTATTTCATTACTGTTCGTTGACGCACCTATGCGACGTTTCCTGGCGTATGTGCAAGTATTGTGAGTACAAAGTATATACTTATGTGCATATTAATTACTCATTTTATAAGCCAATAAACCACCACCGTCTGAGCAAATAAAGGTTGAGCAAATTTCCCACTAAGCGTCAAAAAACTATTAACTTTTATTGTATGAGATTTATTAAAGCCCTACACACGCTTAAAATCATAACTCAAGTCTTTATAGAAAATGTACGAGAGTTGCGAAGGTTGGGATTAGAGAACAATAACCAATATTAATCGTCGAAAATCTCTTCATTATTTTTCTAAATATTCTCCATTAAAGTCTATGTGCTGTTGCGTACACTTGAACGGATTGTCGAAGCACTTTTGCCAGTATGTTTGAGGTTTCTCTGAAAAATGCGTTCCGAACGCATCAACCGCCTCTCCAGGTGTCGGATATTGTTGACCTCTCAGTTCACGTGCTTTACGAGCGAGGATAAAAATAAGTCACTTGATTGTAAACCAATGTTTTGATTCTCAAAAATGCAGTTGTTGCAGACGATGTGTGAGAGTTGTCCAGTTTTTTCCAAAAAAAAAAAAAAAAAAAAAAAAACAGCAACCTTTTGTATGCAAGTGCTTCGTGAGTGAACAAATTTTTTGGTATTCTTTTTACTATCGGACTCATACATGTCGATTCATTACCGATTCATAACCAATCACGATGTCAAAGACGAGTTACGACACCGCTCTCATATTTATTTTTTAAAAATTTCTATCGACCAATCGACAAGAGAATTTTATTTTTGAGCGATTGACATTCAACATCAATCGGTTCCGGAACAAAATCTGTTTTCGTAAAATTCGCCTTGGAGTGATATTTAACTTAGATCGAGCGTTAAACACTGATTGTACACGTATTACAGCTCCCTCGCCAAAAAATTTTATTAAGTTCTTCGTTGAATTTTTGCTGAGTTAATGCAAATCGAACGTTGGGAAAAATAATCGCTCTTACGACAAAACATTCTGAATATGTAGTATGACATCAGAAATGTCAAACTTTACGATAAAGCTTTCAGTTTCCAGATTGCCATACTAGGGTTACCAAAACTCGCAATATTAAATGCTGCCATCAAATTTAGTTCGGGATTCCTCATTTTGATAAAATTCGATATATGAGAATTTAATTTAAATCAAAAATTAAGCAAAATTTTCTAATTGTGATCGCCCCTCGGCAGGGAATGCCAAACCCTTCGAGAGCATTTCTGAAATGAAATAAAACTCCTCATAAAAGACCCAAAAGCCGTTCGGCGGCGACTTAGTACAAAATGTAGGTCCGTCCATTTGTTGGAAAATCAACAAGACACAAAACCACAGATTGAAGATAAGAGTAAACTTATACGAGGCGATTAACAAAAATTCGGTCAGTTGGTGGTTTTCAATTCGTTTTTATTAAATTTAAAAATACCAAATAATTTGCAATTACTTTATTAGTCTTCCTTTCAAATTTCAAAACGATCGGCTAAATTGGAGACGAGAAAACGCAAGATAGCTGAGGATAGGTCAGACGAAATTCCACCACAACCAATCCAAAAAGAAAATCGTCATGTGATTACCTTTGGGTTTCGGCGTAATTTACAGCCAACACAAATATTCAGTGAAAGCCAAAATGCATATGGAACGATTGCACCGTTTTCGAAAACTATTTTTAAGTCGACCAAAATCTGCCACTGATCACCTCACTGTTCAACACAGTGAAGTCAAAAATTTACGAGGACCCACGAATGACACAAGAAATTATTGCTATTGAACTGTGTTTGAAATCAAGTAATCATCTGGGATATACGAAGAAACCTGCTCGCTGTGTACCACGAATTTTAAATGAGACCCAAAAAAGAGGGCCAATTGCATTTCACTCAATCTTTCTTAAACAAATTCGGAAATGGTCAGTCTAGCAATTTTAGTATAGTCGAATTGACGAATTGGTTGGTTCTATAAGTACGAACCAGAAACCATGGTATGGAGCCCAACAGGATCAAACCCACCCGTGAAATCTAGGCAACTAAAATCAGCAACTAAAATGACGATATCAGTTAGATTCCTTAACCCGATCAAAAATCATAGTTGCTAATCCACTGGAAAAGGGTCAGGAAGTTCAAAATACAAATACACGGAAGAGTGTTCACCAAAAGTTTTCAAGAATTTATTGGAAAACAAGAATAAAGAGTATTTGCGGCGCTAGGTTTTACATCATGACAACGCCACATCCCACACTGCTGAAATAACAAGTAATTTTATTGTGATCTCTGAGGTCGAAGAAATACGTCCAGCACCATATTCTCCGGATATAGTACTTGGTGATTTCTGGTAATTTCCAAAAATTAAAAAAATTTTCGTTATTAGTGTGAGATTGGGAAAACTAGCAGTAGAGTTGGGAACCCTTACCATACTACAAAACTACGTCTGCAAAGCCCAACCCTTGAATAAATAGCCATGAAGCAGAAATTAGTTCACTTGTAGAGGCGAACCATATTAGAGGACGTTAACCATATTAGACGATAAAGCTTGTTAAATCTAATTATTTAATCAATAAATTCTTCATTTAAAATGAAAACATTCTTCTATTCACAATCCACAAGTGAATAAAAGCGCCCACTTGATAAGCTTAAAAAACAGGATTTGGAAGACAGTTTTCAGAAGTGGATCTATAGGCTTAAGTAGTGCAATTGAAATCTTTTGTAGAGAAGATAAAAAAGAACAAAGGTTCGAATAAACACAAAGAGATTTTATTCTTTTTTGTCTGGTCAACTTACCGAACTTTTAGATGCCTTTTCAGGTTACTGTTCGGTTGAATAGTTTATGGTTTTAAGTTAAATGGAGCTGTCTCAGACCATTTATTTTTTAGAAATAGTCAAAAAAAACTTTTGTTAATCCCCTCTTATATATAAAGGTTGTCAAATATCTCCCTTCCGCTGTTTTGCTCTTCATTCAATGCTTTATAAAAAGTGTTACAGTGATCGGATTTAGTTAAAATATGCGCCGTTTTGTTCGATGATCCGTTTCCATCTAGACGGCAACTTCATAATACCTTCCTCGTAGAAGCCCCCTCCTTATTTGCGAAGAATTCGGAGAGCCACTTTTCACAAGCCTCTTTTGAGTTCAACTTCACACCACCAAGGGCATTCGCCATGGACAGGAACAGGTGGTAATCACTTGGCGCTACGTCCGGGCTATAAGGTGGATGCGATAAAGCCTCCCATCCGAGCTCCCGTAGATTCTGACGAGTCATCAACGAAGTGTGCGGTCTGGCGTTGTCCTGGTGGAACACTACACCCTTCCTGTTGTATATATATTATATATATACTACATATTTGCTAAGTTGGCAACAAAAAATTCATAAACTAACAGTACAATGGTTTAACAAATTTTCTAAATATTTAAATTGATTGATATTATAACTTTTGCTTTAGAAAATTAAAAACAACTTATAAAAAAAAATTAAATTTCTCCAATTTTTTACAGCACACCTCGTATATGTACTTAGAGATGTTTGAGATTTTGTTATTTTTCGCAATTATTTGAATTTGTGGTCTGCAAAAATCAATATTTTGCTACCGGTTGTAAGTAAATAAGCGAACATTTATTTATTTATATGTAGGTATGTATTTTATAGGCATGCCGAGAGATGACGGTATGTCTGTACATGCACACATATGTATGTATATCCGTGTATGATATTCGCAAGATCTGTATTGACATTCGTTAACACTTATCTCAGCGCCCATTTGGGCATTTCTATGAATCGATGACTTATTAACACGTTATGCATGTACATATGTTTGTATCTACTCGTATATAGGCAAGCGGGCATTAATATATTTTATAACTGTCTTTACAAATACGTCACTTCAATGATATTTTGTTATTTTGCTTTAGTTAGTAGCTAAATGTATGAAAACAAATATATGTGTGAACTCACCACGCCACATCTTACTTGCGCTTGGTTGCGCATGCGCTGTGAATAACGATATCTATAGTCACTAATTAGTTACATATGTATGTATTTTATGTGCAAGTAATCGCGTATTCCCATATCATGCCACATATGTATACACATGCGCATATATACACTCTTGTGGATGCCTTTAAACTTGGGTCAAAGTACATTTCTGCCTCGTCATCATGCATGCTAACTCGGTCAGTAGTGCCAATGTTGGTCTGTTGTAATTTTCTGGCCCTACATGAGCACATGCATACATACATATGTGCGTA